TATATATATATATATATATATATATATATATATATATATATATATACTAGAAGATAACGGCATAAAATCTCGGTCACATTCCCATATTGAACAAGAGAATTAAAGCTGAAGCCGAAAGAAAAAATGGTATCCTTCGATGTCACATCTCTGTTTACAAACATATCGNCACAACTAGCTCTGGGGAGCATACAGAATCTGATAACAGATGATCCTTATCTTCCAGAAAAAACACCACTTTTAGTGACTGACATCATGGAGCTGCTTGAACTCTGCATGAAAACACCTACAGTTTGACGGGAGGATATACCGACAGGTAAAAGGAATCTCAATGGGAACACCACTATCCGGCCTACTAGCTGATGCGGTGATGAAACAATTCGAAGCGAAGGCATTTGAAGAATGCCGCCCTCGCCTCTGGGTTTGATATGTGGACGACACCTTTGTGGTGCTACCGGCAGAAAGAATCGAGCAATTCCATGATACCCTAAACAAGGTTATGCCAGGGATAGCGTTTACCCGCGAGGAGGAAAACGACATGAAGCTCCCTTTCTTGGACGTCCTTGTCATAAGAAAACCAGACGGAAACACAGAAACCACTGTACAAAAAATCCACAACGACAGACCAGGTGCTGAACGACAACAGCAATCACCCCACATGTCCCCTTAGGAGCTGTGTACACTTTATTCTGCCATGCGAACACATTGTAGCACAGAGGAACTCCGGCATCAGGAGCGAATGCATCTGCTCCATCAGTTCCACACAAATGGATATCCCAAAAGTTTCGTCCAGTCATGCCTTAGGGGAAGAAGAAAACCGAAGGATGAAGAGAAGAAAATGAAATTCTTATTAACATATATATATGGTGTCTCAGAAGCCGTTGATCGCATCCTTCGCCCTCTGGGTGTCACTAGTGTCCACAAACCTACAACAGCTCTGTGGTCAATTTTGTTCAACGGCAAGGACTATGTAGAACCACACGATCAATCAAGGGTGGTGTACGCAATTCCGTGCCTACACTGTAACGTGGGAGACAGACAAACAACTGCAGTCGCCTACACGAACACACACTTGTACTACAACGTGTGGAACCACTGCACAACGACAAGTCACGAGGTCAGAATCAATGACGCAAAAGTAGTGGCAAGGGCAAAAGGAAGGGAAAACGTCTGATCCTTGAAGCGCTGCTTTCCACCAACTCATTCAATCGACACATGGAATTCGATCGACATTACGCAACGATTGTACAACCAATGAGGAACGCGGGATTGATGGACAAACAGGCGCGACGCAAACCACAGTGCGAGGCCCAAGCAGACTCAATTCATTCACACGTATTATCGTTTGACAACGAGTCCTATTCTGGATTGAAAAGTCACAATAAATACCGTCACTTGGTGCTCGCCTTCTCCTTCTCAATACATATATAATGCCTGGCACCAGTATAATCTCGCCGATAAAGAACATGCAACACTGATTTCAACTGGCGCCACATGCGACAATTCCTTTCTTCACTCATATTCTTCTGAAAAGCAACGTGTAGAGTTTGTCGGATTATACACGCAAACATCCTATCTTCAAAATCTCGTTTTCAATGTGCACTCAGTAAACAGCAGGTATAACAACTAATTAGCTTAGCTTATTCCGTCGTAAAGTATATATAGACTAACCCACATATAAATTATCGAGCATCTGATTATCTGAAGTCAGAATGCTGAGCGCAAAAAGATGTAGCACCAATTCCACTATCTATCGAGGCGACCAAACCTCGTCGGAGGATGTTCCAACATAATCAAAGGTGGAACACGTAGCTGAGAAAGCAACCTCAGGATATTGACGATCCTGATAAAGTCTACACCAGAAAAGGAGTAGGAAGCAGGATAAAATGCTTCAAGCAATCGAGGCCTGGTGCAATGCACACAACCGTACATTCAGAACAGGGAGATCACCGATGGTGATAACTCTCGGGCTTGTTACACTATCGGTCTGGAGCCACTACAAACCTAGTGAGCAAATTGACTGCATTTAACTGATTCTGACAAAGGCATTAAACATGGTGTTATTTTCCTTTCTTTTGCCATTTATGTTGAGTAATTGATAGTGGGAAAGCGACCATTCCAAGAGCTGCAGGTGGTATTGTTATGACCCGTCCTTGGCTAGTGGTTATCTCAATACAAAAATATCAGGGCAAGGAGAGTACAGTAGATCCGCGAGATGTATGTCATCCAGATCAAGTCAATGATTATAGAAGTGGGCGGGTATTTATATTACGAGTTTTCCGGGGCGCTGTTTCCAACTGTAACACTCGTAAAACGTTCATACCTTCATTTAAAATGGATGATCACACAGGAACGCCAACAAAAATCTATAATGCGACCTGTGTTGAGGGACCTTGGGCCGATGGGTAGATGAATTTAGAGCTCGAACTAATGATATGGCATCCTTGTAGTTCTACACACATGTACGTAGCACGTACAATATGCGCCAGCACCCGGACACCTACGGGATGTCACAAAATGGACAAATTAGTCGGTGCTGGTGGGGTTCATACATTCGACCTCCAGTGCTTTAAGTTGGTGACCTTAATCGCTTAAACACTACCGCCCAATCACAAGCAGATATACAACAAAATAGTCCAGACTTGACGCAAGCAGAATTGGTTAAAGAAATCAGAATTATATGAACTAACCTGAACCGATTCCTCTTAATTTACCAGAATTGAATATATATATATATATATATATATATATATATATCGGTTTGACGATACTGGTGTTTCTGTCAATATAACAAGCCTGTTTTTGATTTCCCATTCATCATAGATATGCGTGCTCGCTACAACAACGGTGAAGATCCATTAGACCCGTCATCACAACAACCCAATCAGGGGCCATTTGGACCAT